AGTAGTGGTTGGTAGAATGGGTCTATAGTGTGCTTAATAGTGACTGGAGATAACCTGCAACCAGAAAAATAAGTCAGTCAAACAGATAAATTAGTGTTTCCTTCTACTAACCTCCGTTTGCGCGTATCGATAATTAAGTTGTGGAGTTGTAGAAGGTCCATACCAATGATTGGCATAGAAACATCTGCAACAACAAAGATCCAGTGAATGGGTTTGCGTAAACCCACGTTAAGATAAACATACCTTTTGCCATACGTAGCGATAGGCTTTCCGTTTGCAGCCTGTAGATTTAAAACCGATTCGTGAAGCCGGTCGTTGGAATTCGCTGGGAGAACGCTAACTTCTGCGACAGTATCGACGGGGTAGTGAACTCTCGTTATCACATCTGTGACGTATAACAGACGGCTATGTTCGCCAGCTACGGCTGCCGTTAACACGCGCCAGCTTGGAAGTTTCTCGAATCGTTTTTCGTGACGATCGATTTTGAGTTGGGAAAATGGCAGGGTTTTCTGCAATTTCTGGCGAAATTTCCATACTGGTTATGATACCGGCACCAGTCAGAGTTATCTGTCTGTCGTGGTCCATAGACAGATCGCCTACGTGAAGTACTACTTCGCATGGTGTGTGACCGTTTACGGTCGTTACGAAGTTTGAGATAACGCGTAAGTGTATGACACAACTCTGTTATTTCATTCTGGGTCGTTCGAGGATTTCCTTTGACTGAAAAAACCTCGGCATTAGAAGATTTATTGAGTTTGATGATACGGTCGGCAGAATCAGCCAGCTCGTCTACGGCGTTGTTTTGGAACGAGACCAGCACAGCTTGCACCTGTTGAGGAAGTTTGGATAAGAAAAGTTGTTTGAATAGGCCGTCATCGAAGGTTCTTTGGCCAATGACTTCTCGCATTCTTTGCAACATGTCTGTGGCAGAACCGTGTTGCAGGTCGATATTGTTGAGGAGTTGGTCTAAACTTTGTCGATCGGTTAGATCTCCGCGTTTAAGGATGGCCTGTTTCAGGGTTTGGTATGGATCAGAAACATCACTAGTAAACATACTAGGTGATACGTACCTGTTAAATTCGCGCGGTAGTGCCTTGACTACTGCGAGGAATTGTGTACGCGTATCGTTCACACCGTGGTCGAAGAAGTCGGCTTCTGCGTAACAAAACCAGGCTTCGATGTTTTCTGGCCAGAAAGGCATAAGTTGGAAATAGGGTGGGGACACAGTCTTTAACTTAAATACTTTAGGGGTCTGTTCAGTCATAGTAATATATCAAGTACGAAAAATGAACGAGTGGGAAATATATATATAAACCCAAAAACACGGGGAAAAAAATATCACAATGTTAAAAAAAATTAAAATAAGACAATGATATATATAATCTCAAAAAGGAACAGTTTTACAGTTTGCAATTTAGTGTACCAGATCACGTCAGACACACCAATGAAGATGCCACAGGTATTCGGAGTTTGACAACGCTTTAACCAGTAACACCTTCTAATACGAAGCGCACCCACCAAGTAAAATCAAAAGACAGAAGTGAGGAGATCGAAGATATATTTGATAAGCTATCAATATATCGAGGATCGTTTGCACTAATCTGGCTAGCGATTGCGGCAAATGTTGAGCACGGCGTTCCCACACGTGATCTGGTGCGGATGCTTGACGGAGCGCCTTCAGCTAGATGAGTTCACTAAAACTGTGGTCAGAATCCAATGTCGAAAACTTACAGAGCTATTTGATTTTGGGGAATTATTTACCGCTACAACATAAAGTAAAAAGAGAAGAGGACCGAGGATTGTACCTTGCGGAAACTCCACTTTTTACGGGTACACACGAGGAAACAGTCCCATTTAACCTTACCCTTTGTCTCCTGTCATGGAGAAAGTTACTTATACAATCTACGACTGTATAATGGATTCCGAAGCGTTCCAGTTTGAGTCTAAGACCAGAATGGGTGACCTTATCGAAAGCCTTACTTAGATCTATGAAGATCACATCTACAGGAATATTCTGATCTTCTGCAGCAGCCCAATCTTCTCTTGCAATAAGAAGATTTGTCAAGCACGAGAGGCCTCTCCGAAAACCATGTTGTTCCCTGGAGAAAAGATTATGCCTTTCAACATAGTTCATAACAGATATCCGAATGATTTTTTCCATCAGTTTTACAACTGCACTAGTTAAGCTAACGGGTCTATAATTTGTAACTAAAGCCCTACTCTCAGCCTTATACACGGTACTTATTATAGCGTCTTTCAAGTCTCTGGGCAGTCTGGATTGCTTCAGAGACATGTCAAACAGTATCGTCAATGGTTCAGCAATTACATCTGATATAGCTTTTATAGCCTTAGGATGAAAATCATCAGGACCACTGGACTTATCAGGTTTAATATGCTGAAGTAGCCTTAAAACAATAACTTTCTCAATGAACACAGAATCCATCAGCGAGCCGTCACGATCATAATGAATTGTTGGTCGTTCCTCATTGGTGATAGAAAACACTTTACTGAAATATTCCGATTAAGCTTCAGCTTTTTCGTTATCATCTTCTGCCAAGAGTAACGGATTTTCTTATATCAAAAGTAGTGGAATTCCATCACTGCTCTGAGTTCACCTTTTTATATACGAGAGTAACTGTTTCGGACTATATCTAGAATCCCTAACCAATTGTTTTTCGCATGATCGTCTAGTCTTACTTATTAAAGCTTTACAGGCATTCCTAGTCTTACAATAACTGGATCGGTATTGTTCTAAGCCCGTAGGGATGAACAGATTCCAGTGTTTCTTCCTTCTTTTAAGAAGTTTCTTAACTGGTTTGGTTATCCATATCGAGTACGTGAATGAACGATTGGGAAAAAATATATGTCCAAAAACACGGGACAAAAAACCACAATGTATGAAAAATTAAAATAAGACAATGATATATATAATCCCAAAAAGGAACAGTTTTACAGTTTGCAATTTAGTGTACCAGATCACGTCGGACACACCAATGAAGATGCCACAGGTATTCGGAGTTTGACAACACTTTAACCAGTAACACCTAATATGAAGCGTACCCAACAAGTGAAATCGATAGACAGAAGCGAGGAGGTTCGAGGATATATTTAACAGACTATCAATTTATCGAGGATCGTCCGACCTAATCTGGCTAGCGATTGAAGGGGATGTTGAGCACGGCGTTCCCACACGTGATCTGGTACGGATGCATGAACGAGCACCTACAGGCAAATTAGTATCCAATTCGTGTAGACAAGAAAATTTTCAGAACTAAAAATTGCAATAACTAATAAAAATCGATTGATTTCTTATCTTTCCTACTGAGACTGAAGTTTGTTTTATCAGACCAATATTGAAAGTTGTATCGAGAAAGAAAGGCCGCAGTTAATATTTTGCGGTACTTTAGGCGTAATGGTGTTTTTCATTATAAGACTGGTTAATTAAAGTTATTCGCAACTGAAATTCACACTCCCCTCAATCAATTATTAAAGCGTCATTCATATCGCAGTTTTTCGACGAAGCTTTAAATGCTTATTAGCTTAAATTACTAAGCAAATTTATCGAAATACTAGACAGACAGCTATTTATTTATTTATTTTAACACATAAATATTGGTACAAATAGGCACTAAATACATATGCGCCACACAGATCTCACTTGATAAGTGTGAAGGCTGTGATACTGCCCGGGTGCCAAGACCGAAGCAGGTAGACAGTCAGCTAAGTGTTTGTCGTAACTAGAGAATAAGATTTGGTTGTAATTTAAAGATTTCCCTATCAGATTTGCTTGTGTGGACGGCTGCACGGATGAAATCCACGGCATCGAGGGTTTTATTACATGTTATGTTATACGTAGTAAGTTTGTCGGTACTCTCATTCTCCCAATTTCGTCGTTGAGTTTTTTGTACAGGTAGCATTCAATCTGAAAGCATTTCATCTGGTCTTTTATCTCATGATCCAGAATTGGAATTGCTGCTTATCGTCTGCTTTCATTTCAGTTTATTGTCAATTATTGATATTTTGTATCTGATTGTACATTCACTATATTTGTCAGGTATTGGAAGTATGCAAAGTTAGACACTTCAATGGTGATGAGTTTTGTCAGGAAGTAACTAAGCATTTTTTGATGAGACTATAATTTATCGAAAATGCGGTCGTATTTAAGGTAATAGGTTTTGCGTTTCGGCGCGAAATTCATTCATTCATTTGGCTAAATGTAACTTTTTTGCCCCTAAATGCCCTGGTACGGGAGAGAGTGGGGAGAGTCCGCTCTCTCTTGAAATGCTCTCACATGGCCACGCGTATACAGCCTCTGCCAGGGAAGTCCTACTCACTGCCTTCACGTGGCGGGGATATTGTTTACGAAAATGAGAGGACGAAAAGCGGATGTCCGGCGCTTTAGCCGGTGTACATGGGCTGGCTCCAGTATCCTGAAGGAACAAATGGCGTATGAACCAATCGTTGGTCACCGGCTACCATGGGACTGCATCTCCTCACGATGCTCCACTACCTTGTGGGTCAGACGTTCAGGTCGAAGGCTCGGGGTGTGGCCCCCTAAGAAAACCACCTGCTTCGGTTTGGGCACCCGGGCAGTATCACAGCCCTCACACAAATCAATTGAGATTCGTGTGGCGCATATGTACTTGGTGCCTCCCTGTACCAATATCTATGTGTTAAAATAAAAATAAAAAAATAAATGTAACTTGAGCAGTTTAGCTGGTGCAAGTTCGTAATGAAAACTCCTAGTCTAACTCCTAACTATAACCGTCAATTGTAAATCATAATCCTTATTTCTAGCTTTAGTAAGTAAATAAGCATTCTGAATGTCACTTTAGCGCCACTCAATGGCTGGCACAAATTATAGTCCTACCGGATTTTCTTGTTATAAATCTCAAATCACTGAGAACCATGTTTTTGCATTTTTGTTTTTTCTTCATGTAGGTTTTTAATTAGTATTAATTTGATTATATCTTCAGGTTCCAATTTCCAAATAAGCAGAAATGTCTGGAGCTTTTGCGCAAAATAGCTCTAGATACGTAATCGCTCATGAAGCAACAAGTGCCAAGCGTGTAAGTACTCATAGATTGTTGTTCCTGAAACTTTTAGCTTTTAGACGAGAATGAACATATCATCGAGTTAGTTTCTGACCTTGCTAGAAAAGGTCGATTCCGTGAAGCGGTTCAGCTCCAGGCCGTTCTTCAACGTAATTTAGTGTATCTTGTGTCGTCAGTTGATCAGAATAACTTGGATTCAAAGCAGTCAGTCGATACTGACACTGTTGCTAAATAAGTATTCTTTTAATCCGTGTGATCTACTTTAAGCTGAAGCTGTTCGGCTTCTGTTACTTTTGCCACACGATCTTTCATATTGATGAAAGTTTGTACGACCTCGCGTCCTACTGATATTACTGTTCATCATTTCTTTCAAATCTTCCTTCAAGACAACCTTTATTTTAATTCATTCTTTCGAAATAATAAGAACTCTTCATTCTCTTACAGTTAAATATTGCTCTTAGAAATGATGTATATATCAAGTTGATCCAGGTATCGCAATCATTACTTTGTTATTTCAAATCATTGATTGAAAAGTATTGTACTTGTGTTTAGTTTATTTTTATTGACTCCACCGGGTTAACACCAGTTTGTAAATAGTCATGTACATATGTGTATATTTGTGTAATAGTTTTAGCTGTTACTCTGTCTAATATCAGTGGCAGATTGACTTAATAAATAATTATTTCTTGAAAATCTTTTGTGATATGACATATCACAAACTACTGTTGTTCATGTTGTTTACTTGACTGTTTTTGTTGGAATATCAAGTCGTGAAATACTCACCTAATATATGGATAGAGGCATTAGTCTTGAGTTGTTGGTTTCTCAAAGTTTCCACTTTTGATTTTCCAGAAAGTCCCCTTGACTCGTCCAACTTGTGGTACCTGTGTTATAAGTGAAATGTCCGTCTTCCGAATTCACATTAGTTTGACTTGTCCTATTTATGGTTGTGAAGTGATTTCTAAAGTTAGATATTTGTGGATTATCACCATCTAGTCACAAGTGTCTTCAAAGAGTTGCTTATGTATGTTGGGACTGCCGAATGAGCAATGCAAGGGATAGACTCAGGGTACTGGATAAAGATAACAAGTCGACATGTAGGTTGGTGTCTTCATTAACTAAGGTGATTAGAACATGTGTTATGTGTCCTTTCAACGAACCACCACCGCTGTATATTCCGATCAGAGCTGTCTTCACAATGTTGTTAATGGCAAAGTTGAAGGGGAATGACGAGCTTAACGAATCATACCTAAGCCGCTTCTGGGATGGAATAATGTAAAAATGTGGTTGTGTGCACCTACTGCTTGGGATGTTTGTGTAGTAAGCCTTCAAGATGTTGATAAATTTATCAGACACCCTACTTGAACAGACGAAGGTAATCATGATATGAGGAAGCACGACTGTTGAGGTGCGATAATTGTGACGGTATTTTAATTTCGAATTCTCAATTAGCTTTAGTAGTCCGACTTGTCTCCACGATTTGCGAGGTACCTGTAGAAACCTAATATCTATAAACTAGATATCTCACTGAATAGCAAGCGACTTCGCTCGCCATTTTCATGGAGCTATGCAAATGCAGTTAGTTGTCATCTATGCTTTTCGGTGGGATAACGGCTAGGATTTTACCTGTCCCGGTTGAAACGAAAGCCACATTCTATTTACTTTGTTTAATCCTCTCAGGACGACAAATTTATTGGTCACTGAAAGGTAAGATGAGATTGATTCGAACCAGAGTGTGATCAGAGTCCAGATAAGTAGTCCAACAAGTGCGGGAGTTTTGTGCTCAGCCACGCTAGCATTAGGTGATTGCGAAATGATCAGTTTGAGTAGTTGTTTAATTTAAGGGGGTAGCGTGCCAGAGAGCAAATCTGCAATAACTGTGCCGAAATTGTGTTCACGTCAGAAATCAGTTGTGTACCCAAAGCTGCAGGCGAAATTCACCATTACCTGACCTGTGACTGGTAAGTCCTCATGGACCCCCAGCGACTTTCCTCTGTGCATAGACTTCCGAGCTTCATATTCAAATGTCCGGCTAGCACTACAATGTCTTTCGCATGCAGTTTCTCGGGAAGATCATTTAACTAGTGATGGAATCCACCTGTGATTCCATTCGGACTGTAATCTGTCAAGTTGTAGACAATAACGACATCGTTTCCAGCCCGACTTTTTTCACTTGATGCTTTCTAGTCTGAAAGCACAAACGGTCATTAATGGGGATTCATTTGATTATTGTCATCTCTGCTTCAATGCTTAGTGTGACATCAATGTCAGACAATGATATCACAGAGTCACCGTATGTGAAGCAAACTGTTCAGATCGGCAGATGGAGAATTAATTTGTAGTAATGCACTAGAGTGTTGTATACAGGTCTCTGACCTACTGCAAACATTAATGTTAGCAGTTATCAAGTGCATGGATAAACTTATCTGTTGTCTCATTTTCTTCAGTGTACGGACGTTGGAGAAGGCCAGCACTTGACTTTTCGGAAAAACACTGATCTGGATTTCGTATTCGATGGTAGCATTCAGGGTTTCGACCACTTAGAGACTTGGGGTCAGTCAGTCAGCTGCAACGTAGGACCAGGCACCTATATGCATCGGTCCAAGTTGCCATACCGCATCAGCACAACAAGATGAACACAGGAAGAGAAAGAGTGTATACACCGACGTCATTGTGATGGATTCTGAGCCATGTCACCAAGAGTCTCCAACCATTGGTTACGGTAGTCACGCACACCCCAAACAGACAGTCTGCATCTACCAACATGGTTCAGACCAGAAGTTAGTGACTTCAAGCACTGATGCCACGTTTTGGTTTGGCCGCCCCTAACTTTGCTCCAATTATCCCTAACACCGGTTAACATTGCGCGTCGTGGTAATCGGTGTTCAGGCATACGCAGCACGTGGCCCAACCATCTCAGTCGATGAAGTTTCATAACTTCATCAACTGATTTACCATCCTTTCCTAATACCCTACGTCTAACCTCACTATTACTTACCCGGTGATCCCAGCAATATTTCTAAGGCATCTGTGGTCAAACACTTGTAACTTACGAGTATCTTCTACTCTTAAAGGCCATGTTTCGCAGCCGTATAGTAGAACGGAACGAACTGCCGCGCAGTATACTCGTCCCTTAATTGATAGGCGGATATCTCGCCTACGCCATAGATGACGTAAGTTGGCAAAGGCCAATCGAGCTTTCTGAATCCGTTCTGAGATTTCGTCAGACACCAACCCATTTGGACTGATCAGACTTTCAAGATAAGTGAAGTTGTCAACACGTTCGACTACTTCACTCCCTATCCTTAGTTCAGGTGTTGACGCAGACCAGTCCTGAAGCAGCAACTTGCATTTAGAGGGAGAGAAGCGCATCCCAAACTTTGTGGCATTGTTGCTCAGTGCTACCAAAAGACTGCATTTTATCGGCGTCTTGCCAAACAGGACTACGTCATCTGCGTATTCTAAGTCGACAAGTGAACCTCCTGGTAGGAGATCAATGCCGGAGAGTTCAGTCGACGAGAGCGTTATTTCCACCAGTAGATCTATGATGAAGTTAAACAAAAAAGGAGAAAGTGGACAGCCTTGATGGACACCACTTGTAGTTGCAAAAGCGGATGACAGTTCTCCATAAGCTCTGATTCGACTAGTAGTGTTCGAGTAAAAAGCCTTCATAAGGTTTATGTACTTCTGAGGTACGCCTTCCAATGACAGACACTATCACAGAACCTCTTGGTCTACAGAGTGAAATGCTGATTTTAAGTCAAGGAAGACCACCACTTCCGGCGGTAAGGTCTCAACAAGTACGGAGCTAACACAAAAATTACTAACAAGAAGGTCGTGTGAGACCAACCTCAAGCAGCTGTATCTTGGGCACTGCGGTCACGCTTTCAAGTCACTAAGACCACCCGTAATCCGATTTTTTTCAGGTAGCTCCAGAAGAACCCTTCCACGGTGTGGGAAATCGGGAAGTGATAACCGCCCTCATACCTCTAACAGCACTCAAGACCACTGAGACTTGGGGTCGCTTAAACAGGACGAAACTTCCGACGTAGATGAGCTGCTGAGTAAGTCGTGATATAGAGATAAATGGAGAATGGAATAGAAGTTTGATGTTTAATGAAATCGACACATTTTTAATAGAATCATTGTGAATATCTGTTGTGCGCTGGACATTCACTCTTCATTCTCCCATTTTTGTAAACAACACATTGCTAGAAATCAGTGAGTAGGACTTCTCTGACAGCTTTTAAATGTATGATCGCACGGGGGATCCTCAGAGGGAAAGTGAACTCAGCCTGTGCAAGAGCATTTGAGGATGTTGCTTATGATTGATCTTCAATGTCGATTCAAGAATGAAATAATTTCTTATGCGCATTCAGACCTAGGCACGTGCAATTTGTTTAAATGTTACAGGTTTATTTATGTAGCCTTGTATCACACTGATTGTGTGTTGTTTAATGATACTGTCCAGCCAAAAATGCTGAAGTAAGCGGACGAGGATCCAAGCTGACTTCTGCTAAGCACATGGACTCTCCGTAAGTATATTCTTTGGGTCATTAGAAGCTGTATATCCCAGTCACCCTATGTTGCCCTGGTTTTGCTGCGGGTGGGAGTCTTGAGTCTTTTCCTAAAAATGGTCTGAGATAGCTGCATTTTTAGCCTCAACAAAGAAATTCGTTGCTGTTCTCACGTCAAGCACTTTTTGTCGAAAATGTTAAATCCCTAAATACAAGGTATTGAAGGCGAATTGAGTGTTAGATTACTTAAATGTAGTTTTCACCCAGTTGATTTCTGTATCAGTCCACTGAAACTTTCATTTTATCAAATAAATTGGTTTCGTTTCCGCTCATTTGACTCGAGTGAATTCAGTGCAATGTTTGCGCAGTATAAGACTCATTGTTCCAATGTGACTTTTTGTTCATTCAGTGTAATATCCATTTTTACTCATTTCTTGTAAAACTCATTACGGTTGACGAATTCTTTTCACAAATAATCCCATAGATTTGATCTGGATATGAATGAACGGATTTAAATGGTCGATTTAGTTGGGATTCCGTCAGTAATTCTTCTGGAAACACTCTAACTTGCTGTAGTCAGGTGTGAGGGAAAAAGTGATAAAATGGAGTTCCGCTCATTGTCATTGAAGCCAGGATTGTGAATAATCAGCCGTATAATATTTTTATTCAGGAAGATAATTCGAATGTCCGGTGCTTAATTTGTTCTGATCGATTCAGAGGGCCCACTTAGTGGAGTCATAAAACCTGGACCCAAGTGCAGTATTGTACGTAGGCTCCAGGGTGCAAAGGGAACAAATGCCATGCGAACCTATTTTGTTCAATTGATACCATGGAGCTGCATCTACATTCCCTTACTATCTTGTAGATAGATGAATCAGTTTGATCAATATAGTGTCCAAAATATCAACCTCAATGATATTCTGACGTTTATGAAGAGTGAACAATGGATGTAGACACGCGGACCAAATACTCACCCTATGGTAGTTTCTGGAACACTGACAAGCTTTTCGATGTCCGACTATAGTTGCATTCCTTGACCTTAAGACCTTTTTTAACTCTGTCCCACTCTTAATTCCTTCCCAGTTTTATCCAATTTTCGTTTATTTTTAACATGTCAGTCTTCATTTCTCGGCGTAATATGTTCTTTGGTCTTCTCTCCATTTGAACTTAAGGA